CAGGCCTCGTGGGTGGTTGCCTGCCCATTGGGTGAAGACTGAGGGAGGGGGCAACTTCTGCAGATCCCCGGCTTGCTTCTCTGAACCAGGGGTTGACCATCTACAGGCCAGATCCAGCCTGTGAATCCTAGGATGGCTGTGGCATTGGAAAGCCAGCAGCATCAATCGGTGCCAGCAGCCTGCCTTGGACCAGGCTCTGTTCATTTAACTCCTCGCTGCTTTACAGGCGCTGCTGCTGCCTGCTCTAAGCCACTGCTCAGCTGGAGCTTTTCCCTGTAACCTGCCAAAGTGTCTGCAGGGGTACGTGCAAAGCTGCCTGCGCCCTGCCACATCCCGCAGCTCCCAAGGGGCTCTGAGCACCGGGAGGCCCTGGGCGGGATTCTTAAAACAGGGAGCAGCCCGCCTAGTTGGCCTGGACCTTACCAGGTCACGCAGGGACAACAGCCTGGCTCTTTGAAATGATTTCCTGCTCAGTTTGATTCTGGAGATACCTTCCTTAAGACCCTCCTCCTCTGCCTAGCTCAGTAAAGGCACCTGGCCATGGAAGTGTGCCAGTGATTACACACTCCTGGGCTGGAGTAGCAAATACGTTTGTCATGAGCCAGTGCCATAAGTCAGAGCCCTGCAATGCAGGAAGGAATTGACCCCACCTCTGCTCCCACGTGTCAGGGCCCCAACACTTGGACCATCCTTTCCACTCAGGCTGGGTGGAGCAAAAGCGCATCCTTCAGCATCTGGCTACTGGGCGCCTTCTGACACATCTGTGCCTCCCAATGCAAGCAGCCTTCTGCAAGGTGAAGTGGGCATGCTGGTGGGCACTAGTGAGCAGACTGGGTCAGGGGTGAGGAGGGAAGAGGATGCTGCTCTGTCTCAACCATGTCCTTCACCAGCTTCTTCAGTGGTTAGATAGACTGCAGCAAACTACTCTAGAGCAGCCTCGGCTGTTGTAGCCTATGGGGAAAGTCCCTCCCTGCCCCCTCAAAATGCAAATGCCCCACAAGGCACATGTCTTATTGGGCCAGCTGTGCAGCTGGCAGAGCTGTTGGACAAGCTTTCAGGCACGGGGGGCTCTTTCAACACTTTAGCCCTACTACACCCAAGGAGACCACCTCGCAAGCAATGCATCTCACATGCTGCCTTTTAGCATTTCCGAAGTGTGGGAGCAACTTCTTCATGTTTTCATGACTAAATGATGTTACCTGCAGAATTTTATGCCTTTCTGAACCACTTAGTTCGATTGATGTACTGCCCTGCCTTCTGCCTGACTTCAGACTAAGGATGCTTGTACACGTGACGGGGGTTTATTCCTCCGTGTATCATCCTATGTCCCCTAAATTGACACAGTGAGCTTTAATTGTTTCTGTCAGTGTGTACACGTGCCTGCTAAAAATATTATAAATTGTTCCATGCGCTATTCAAAGTTAAATACTGAAGGGGACGCTGCATAGCAATCCACTCCACTCCACTGACTTCTTAGTATTAAATAATAGCAGAGGGCACCTATAGCTCACAGACCACTGATATGTGCAGATCAGCGACACTTGTGGCCGATCAAGCTACATTGCAGACAGTGAGTTTCTAGTGTTACTGGCAGTGAGCCATTATCATTTAACATTTTGTACAACAGGTCAATCTGGGGGACAATTTGGGTCAGACTGTGGATTTCAGCGGTGTTGTGTTAGGAATGCTCTCTTGGGCAGGTGGTGTGAGTGTCGGTGCTAAGGAACAGCTCACACCTGTATAGATATGCATAACTTACAAGTCAAGACATTTTTGCACGAAAAGGTCCCATACTCCCATCCATGTTCAGAAAGCATCTGGCATAGCAACCCCTCTCTCAGCAGCTGTGGTAATACGACCTATGAAGACATGAGGTGTGGGAACCTGACACCCACAGTAGGCACCCCACCCTGAATTCAGGTTCGGGCGTGTAAGTGTTGAGTGCCCACAACTTTTTACTGCTGAGGGAAACTCATATAAAAAGGGAGTGGTGGAAAACCGACAAAACTGGGAGTGGGATTTTACTCTTGCGTTCTTGCACCCAGATGCAGTAATGATAACGGGACCTATGGAGACATGGGGAGCAGAGACCTGACAGCTGCAGTAGCCACCCAACCCTAAATTTGGGGTTCAGGTGTCTAAGCGTTTTGTTGAGCACCCACACTGTTATACTGCTGGTGGTGTCTCATGTAAAAAGAGGGGGCTTGTAGATGGACTTGGAGACATTAATAATGCTATTGTACCGAATGCCACTGTGCTCCTGTGCTCCTGGATGCCTAGCATAGTTCAACCACCCTGATCTTCACCCCCCACAACACACCCTTGCCGTCAGTACAGTGAAATCGGTGACAACTAATACAAAACACTTTGTTTGAAATATTTCTTTAATGAACTAAGAAAAAGAGGTCAGCAGAAGATTGATCCATGTTGGGCCCTGCTGCTACACCTGGTGTGCTAAAACATTCATTACCTACAAATACCTGCAAATTAGCTGCAACTATGTAAAAATTGTAGCAACACCCAGTGGACAAAGGGTCTCAATACACATAATTCATTGAATTGCTATATATGCATGCCAGCTTACTGGCTGCAATGGTGCAATTGTTGTGTGTCAAACTAAAGTACACCAGGATGCGGTTTAGTTTGTCATGATGTGGAACAATTTGAGACACCCAAACCTCACTGTAGGAGAGAAGTGGAAGTGCGGGGAGGAAATCTCTCCTTGCCCCCTTTCCCTCAGAGTCTGGGAGGTGAGCTGCCTTGATAGCAATGGGATGAGCACCAGTAGCAGCTGGCATTGGGCAGCTGGAGAGCCGGTCCCAATACAGCTTATCCAGGAAGCCCCAAGGTAGGTCTGCAAGCATGAGGGGGATAAGCCCCTTAGCTCAGGAGTTCCCCCAGGCTGAGGTGCGAGCAGCCCAAAAGTGAAGTGGCAGGTGGCAGGGACACTTGGGGCACAGCTACGGTCCAGCCCCTTAAAGAGTCCCCTTGTGAAACAGAGTTCCCCAGAGGGAAAATCCCTATTCAGGACCACTAAAGCTGGGTCAGGACATCCTGAGCAGTTTATGCTCTCAGGGGAAGAAACACCTGATTCCAGCTCATCCCAGGTGCTTTGCCTTAATACAGGACAGACAAGCTGCAGCTGGAGACCAGAAGCCAATGCTGATAGGCTGGGAGTATTTGGAGGAGAACCTAAAAGGACACAGGAAGTGGCGAAAGGGGGAATTCTACACCAGAGATCGGTGGTGGCAGGGGTGAGGGGCACATCTGCCCATATTTCTTTATTTTTGTGACTGACAGACTGCGGTGAATTCCTGGAAGTCAACCAGGAAGGTACTGTGTTTAGCACCTGTCTGTGAAGCCTTAACAGCAGTCCTTAATCAACCTGGAAGACTGTGGTAGAGGTGTAGGGGCTGGAGGAGCCCCCGTTATAGGTCTGTGAGACCTCACTCAGGGCCATAGCTGATTATTTTGGACTAATAGGAAGAGAGCCATGATGGCAGATCCTATTTTCTTCTCTGGGATTGAATTTTACATTAATACCATTAAGTCATTGTGGGCGAGCATCCTGAGAATGCAGCCTACTCCCTAAGAGGGAACGTGGCACTGGTCGTGCTGTAAAAAAGAGGCCCAACCACACTCGCATACCTGTAAAGTATGATACCATTAAGCTACACAAAGGGGGATTTTCCTCATGTGTATATGGCATCATCGTTATGTGTATACATGCCCTAACATGGCTAAGTACCTCTCTACAGCCCAAATGAATACAATGGCACCTTCTTTGCAAGTAAATCAATTAATTTTGGTAAGATAGGAGGCTGTACAGAGTTAGAGAATGTCTGCTTTAATGATAGCTTAGTTGGAAATAAATATACTCCTAGACATCATTGCTGGGGCTTTTGTGTTGTAGTAGGTTTTACAAAGTCAGCAGCCTTCAACTATTCACTGTTTAATGATCGTGAACATAATTGTCTTGCCATAGCCTGTAAAAGCCAGTCTTCAGTGCCCTTGCTCTTGCTACCACAGCAGATGATCACTTTTGCTGGCTCAAAGCACCAGTCAACATTCACTTTAGTGAATCAGAACAGGTATAAAAAGAGGGAATATGCTGTTTGTGGTGGCAGCAATATTTTTCAATAGCCTTTAAAGGAAAGCAAGATGTAGCTCAGTTTAGGCCTTGACAGAAGAGCTAGGGAGAAATATGACACACAAACTAGTATAAGTGATTGGAAACTGTAATGCAATTGAATTTCAGTGCATATAAACCACTTTCAAGATGGCCAAAACCATTTTAAAATAAACCTGTATGGATGTACTGTCAGACTTAATTGATTTAGGTTAAATCAGTTTATTGAACTTCTGTCCCAGATCTCCTCCAGATACAAGTTAACGCACAGTCCTCCAGCATCCCAGGATGCTTTGCATATCTCCTGCAAGCCCCTCTTGCAGGGTGGGCAGGCTAGCCTTAGCCCAAGCTATCTGCTACTGCAGAGTAGGGAGGCATGCTCTAGCACCCACTGGCTTCTGGCCTGGGCCACTGCAGGGATGTGGCTCAAAAGTGAATGTCTGTGCACTTGCTTATTGGTTCAATCACCGCAGTTTAGATTAACCTGTGAAGATTGAATTGATTCATCCTCAGGGTTTTTTCCTGTCTGTACTTAGCCCAGATGGCAATATTTAGAGCACATGGTTCTCTGCTTTAAGATGCTGCTGAGGAAAGTGAGCCACCAATGTAAAAGCCTTATGGTGGAGCGAAGGGCACTAGGGGCGCTAATACAAGGGATTAAAGGGAACTTCTGATTGCACTTTACAGAAAGCACTTAAAGGTACAGCATGATCAAAATTAGAAGACAGTTGGCGTTTGGTGGTGTCAGCTGGGAGCTACTGTTGCCACACTAGTAGCTCTGAAATGTAGGGTGCAAGCTCAGAAAACCTGGATTGAATGCGCATATCCTACAGCCAAAGGTTTGAGCTCCATCAGTGAAACAGGAAAAGCTATGTGCTCTGCAGAGCAGCAGGGCTGTGGAGGAAAGGTCCATCCCAGGTGTCTCCCGTTCCTACGTGAACGCACTCCCGATGAGACTGAGGTTGGTGAAGGCTACCACCTGCTGGCAGTGACAGGTAAGTGGTCTTGTTCCAACATGGCTATGTTCAGACTAGACATGGGATGGGGCCAGAAATCGCTACTGAACCTACCTGGTTCCCCTCACTCCCTGAACAAGAGTGGGTGGGGAAAAAGTCAACACTGCAAGTGCTGTCTGTACGCACTGCTGACACCTCCTGCCATTGTGGCCCTTTCAAAACCAGAATGACAAGACAAGACAGGAGCATTTTAAGATCACAGCACCTTAAAAATTAAACCCAAGCTATTTATGCTAAAATCTGGAAGGGTTAAGGCTAACATTTCTGCACAGTCCTTTAGGAGAAAGGTGGGCTGTACATATCCACTCATCTCAGTGTATTAGGCAAACCATCTGGAGTCAGCCAGAGCTTGTGTCTCTTAGGCTGTGTCCGTGCCCTAGGAGGCGCGGAGTTTCTGTAGCTAGTTGGAAACACCCCTGCACTCTCCAGCTGTTGAGCAAGAGGGAATAAGAACATGCATACAGGGCAAAAGAGGAGATGGAAGAACACAAGTCCCATGTCATGCACTTTTTTTATGGGAACGGGGAGTCAAAATCTCAAGCAACATAATGTCAACTTGAGTTTCCATGTAAAAATCTACTGGCCAATGGAGTCAAGCACAAAGCGTGTAAAGTTACAGCGTCATCAAAATTAACAGACATTGGTCATTTGATGGTGGGGGCTAGGAGCCTGGCCATGCACTGGCCAAAGGCAGGGGGCAGGGGGTGCTGTCACCTGTACTGGAAACCATCCAGGGTGCCCCCACCCCAGGGATCATGTTTTTGCCAGCTGATTGCTGGCTGTGCCTGGTGGGTCCCCTGCCTTCTCCCCTTAGGGAGCATTGTCTCTCCTGAGGATTCCCCTGGGACAAATTGTTGCTACACAAGTTGCTCTGAAGTGCAAGGTATAAGCTCCGAGGACCTGGATTGAATAGGCATCTCTTACAGCCAAAGGTCTGAGCTCCATCGGTGAAGTAGGAACAGCCGTATGCACTACAGAGCAGCAGGACTGTGGAGGAAAGAAGAAAAAAAAAGGCAGACTCCAGCTGTGGTATGAAACTTGTTGGTCCCTATGATGCTGGCATGCTGGCATGGGGAGGGCAGCCACAGCCTAGCAGCCAGCGTGTCACACAAGAAGGGACTGGACAGATTCTTGGAGGAAAGGGGCATCAGCATGGTGGTTAGAGGGACAGCCTCTGAATCAGAGCTTCCTAGACCTTAAATGCTAGAATCTGCTTGAATCTGCAAGTGAGAAACTGGAAAACCTCTGGTCATACCCAATTCACACTCCCTTTCGCAATCTACTTTCAGCCACTGTGTGTCACAGGCCTATTTGATGTGCTGTCTGGTCATGGGCCCGTCACAAAATAACTACAAGCTTCCCTTAATAAGGGAGGCCACTGAGGACACACCAAATGATTCCTTGGGACAAGTAAAAGAAAATAGGAATGGAAGTGAGGACATAGGTGAATAACAAGGCACCAGTCACCCATGGACAAGAGGGCTAATGACAGGGACTAATGGTAGGAAGCTGTTGCAGGAAGATCAAGAGTAGTAGGGAAGAATAGCTTCTCTCTAATCTTTACCTTCACTTCCATGCATATGTGGTGGGCCATGTTGTCAAAGGAGCTGTGCCAGTACACAGCAGCTGAGGACCTGGCAGTGTGCACGTGAATGTATATATACATACATGTACATGTGCATGTGTGTGTTGGGATGGTGACTAGAAAGTGTTCCTAAGCACCCGCTCTGTGCAGTGCTGATTAAATCAAGCAATGTGGAGGTTCAGGCTGGGTCGGCAGAGCTCCAGTGTACCAGGTTTGGGACACAAGTGTGTTCTCAGTGCCCTGAGATTTCAGCCTCCCCAGCACTGGATCCATAATAAACAGAGGACTTGGCATTTTTTCCAAGATCCCTAGAAGCCCCTAGGAGTCAGACCAGAAATCCAGGCAGCTTGGAGGACTCTTGCCCACCTCCTCTGCGACTTGGAGCTGCCTGTGGGCATGTCTGCTCCCCAAGTTTGCACTGTTTCAACTCCTCTGGTTTGAAACTGGTGGAACTAAAGCAGTGCAACTTCCCAAGTGTAGCAATCATTGCCAATAATGCGCACCTCTACCCCGATATAATTGCTATCCATTCAGATCATAGGCACTGGGGACATGGAGGATCCCTTTTGGGTGGGACAGGCCCAAAACAGGAACATCAAGTCCTGCTCCTGGGCTGCGTGACTCCGGGACAGCATTTGTCCTGGATTCCCAGTATTGTGCAGGGATCTGGGTTTTTTGTTCACCCTGGAAATACATGGGAAACGAATGGCCAGGAATACAGCCCCAGGCAGCAGTGGGCAGCAGCTCCCCCAGCTGCCTGCAGGTAAGTCTATGGGGAGCAGATGGAGGCCCCCATGGTGAAGGAGGGAGGCAGGGGCAGGGGCTGGGCCTGGGTCCGGGGGAGCTGCCCAGTCAGGGTGTTGCTTGAGGCCCAGGGTGGAGAGTGGGACAGAGCCAACGGTGGATCATCCAGGGACCAGCTCCATGCTGCTGCGTGGACTCCCAGGGAGAGAAGCATGGGGGGGCATGTGCCCCTAGATTTGTGCATAGGACGGGGATGGATGTGGGCTGTCTCCTGTGGACTTGGATCTCTGTGCCCTGCTGCCGTTCCCCCAGGAGCCCTGCACTGGCTGCACTGCCATGGTGAGGTAGGTGCCCCCTACCCACCTGGCAGCAGCAGGGGCACTGGTGCTGTGTTGTGCCCTCGCTGCTGCCAGGCAGGCAGGCAGGGGGTACCTTGCCATGGTGGCATGGCCGGCATGGGACTCCCAGGGGAGGGCAGCAGGGTGGGGACCCCCGAGTCCACAGCAGACAGCCTGCATCCAACCCCACCCCTCCACAGGCTTCACTCAGCTCTGCCGCCGGAGGTGATGGGAGCATCATCTTAGATCCCCCCGACAAAAATTAAAGTCGGCACCTATGGTTCAGATGATCCAGCTGAGATGTTGGCATAAATGAAAGCAGTCTGATCCAAAACAGACAAGCCAGTGCACAGTCTGTGTGGGCGGCTGTAGCCAGCAGACTGTGCATGTGCGGTTCGAATTATGTGGGAGCTCCGGGGGGGCTGAGCCTCCCACCCTCATAAAAGATGGAAGCCCCTCTGTCAGATTTGAAAATCATAAATTGGGGGGTCTCCAATTTTATTAGGGTATTGTGATGGGCAGCCGTTTCATTTTTTTATTTTTTTGCAGACCTCTCCATGAGTCCAAGTGTAATTTGAACCCTGTGTGCACATGATTTAGGGGCTGCGTGGAGATGGGGAGCATCGCCTTCTGTATGTCCTTCTGTAGGCGAGTGACTGACTCAAGACATCTCAGCGGTGCCCCTGCTGCTCCCTTGACAGCACCCGAGATGCCAGAAGGCCCGTCCCGTCCGTGAGGAAGTTCCAGTTCCTGACCTTGCCTTTTGCGGGGCAGGTGCTGGCCCAGGCAGGAGGAAGCAGCCGACCGATTAGCCTGAATGAGCTGCAAGGACTGGAGCTCCGGGACTCCCAGGTGAGACGCGCTGAAAGGCAGCCTTGTCTGTGCATGTCAGCTCAGCCACAGACCCTGCTCCTCGCTTATGCTGGAGCGCTGGCCTGGCCAACACGGAGAGTGTTACCATAAGGCACGGCAGCAAAAGATTAACTTGGCTATAGACAGGCTGAAGGGCTACCTACCCTGGCTACAAGGAAAAACAGAAATGCACTTCTGAGTGGTGACCCCTGGGCACTCGCAGGTGGCTCTCTGTCTGGCTCCACCTGTACTTGTAAGACTGAGCTCCTGAAAAGGTTCAGGTGCAGCAAGACTGTCCATGTGCTTTGCTTTCCAAATGGTTGGCACTCTGAACAAATTTAACTCCCTCCTGGAAGTTGAGCCTCTAAAGATAGGCTCAACTTCCAAGGCCACATCATCCTTAGAGGCTCTTACAGAGAGCCGCCAACATGCAGTGACAAACCAGCTCTGAGCAGTGTGCTGGAAGCTGTTGGCACAACAGTGGTGTGTGTGATGTCTCTCCCCACCTGACTGCTCAGGAAGAAGGGGCGTCCTCTCCTCCACACCTCCTTGCTACTGCACAAAAGGGAGGGGAAGCCCCTTGGAGGCTGGAGCTATGACAGCCTGCAAGGGGAAAGCCACAGGTTCCCATGTTTTTCTCCTTTAAAGAAGAATCCATTTTTAAAGTTTGCTCACAACCCTTTCATATATTCTTGCAACCCAGCTTTGGGTCACAATCTATGGGTTGAGAAATGCTGGTCTACTGACCTCGGCAAAAGTGGGGCAGGGTGGGTCTCTGCCTTAATAATGAATGACCCTTACCTGGGTGTCTATGTTAGCATCAGGTGAATGTAGCAAGCCTGCTTTATTACATGGCAGGACATGTTGAGCAGGATCTGACTTGTAAACAGCTGTATTTTTTTTGTAGGACTTGATTCATGTTTTCCAGGGCTGAACTGATGAAATTTGCGGCTGGAAAAAAAACCCAACTGTGGGCGCTTTCATTCACATATTGTCTACTAACCTTGGAGTGTGAGGGGGTGAGGGGTAGGGCAGGAAGAGGGGTGTATCCCGAAGCAGAGGGCATTTTGCTGTCTGCTTGTTTTCAGGGGGGCACCTCAGCACAGCACTGGCTGTCTGAAACTTGCTGTTTCTGTCGATGTTAATGCAGTCAATTTGTGACTTGTCCTTGAGTAAAGAAAGAGAATCAGCAATCTCTTTTCCATGAAGATCAAAAAAGCAGAGAAAAATTCAGCGTGTTTAAAAAGATGGGGGAATGGTTTCTATGTCCATGCTGCATTGTAGGGATCAGTACAGCAAGTCCAGGAAGTTCTACCTAATAGATCAGCAATGTCTTAATTGGCTGCATAGAGCTGAGGCCCAGCGAGCTGGATGTGGGTGGGAGGTTGCCCCGTTCAGTCTGTTGGTAGCCTGTATTCCTGGCTACACTGGAAATGTTTCCTCCCCACCCTGAGGGCTACACAGAAAACTAAATAGGATAGAAGAGGTCAAGCTAAGTGTTCAGGCAGCCTGGCCCAGCTGCACCCTAACACCATCCTGCAAGGCAGCGTCTTTGCCTGGAAGACCATCGGCTCCTGCTCTACAAGATCATCCTTCTCATCTCCCCCTGTGGCTTGTTGCACATTCTGGCATCTCCCTCTTTGCACGGCCAGTCCAAACCTTGCCAGATCTTCCCCATGTCATCTCCAGAGTCTGTTTGTCTTGGCTGTGCCTTCCCTGAATAGGCAAAGTCAGGGTATTTTCTCTAATTTCCATTCTGTTCCTTTTAAGGCTGTTTCTGCACTTTGAGAAGGGGGCTTCCTCATCTTCTACAACTGCCGAATACACTGGCACCCCTCACTGACTGCCAAACCCACCATTGACATCCTGTCTGCTGAGATCCATCAGGCGCAGGCTTTGCAAACCCGTTGCAGGCTCGTGTCTGTCTGCTACACCCTTCTGGACTGGAGATATTTCTGGGGTCTGGGTATACTGTATGCTCCACCGGGGAGGGGAAATGGGCTCCAAAGAGAGAAACACTATGACTCAGTCTGAGATGGATCTCAGATATATCATTAGTGTAGACTCTGTGTGTTAAATATCCCCTCTGAGACATGAGGCTTGCAGTTGACTAGTAGTAGCCATGTAGTAGTCATGTGTCTATAGCACTTTCCATGGACAGATGTGCCCACCCTATACCAAAAGGAATGAGATTGGGCTGATGTAGCAGGGAGCTTGGTGCTCTTGCTACTTTAAGGGAAGGCAGGCGGCAGGAGCAGCTGGCTGCAGGTGAGGCAGAGGGGAATCAAGGGGGCCACTGAGCCCAAAGGGATTGGACTTGCAGGATATAAGCCCAGGGCTCCAGCTGGGCAGGCAATCCAGCCCTGGGGCCACGGAGGCAAGAGCTCCTGACCACTCAGCAGGGGGGGATCTCTGCTAAAGCAGCCAAACTGCTGGGGGTAAGGACCGGTGGTTTAGGACTGTGTGAGTGGTGGAGGTTTCAACTGGCCCAGGAGTGGGGCCAAGGTGTGAGGGATAGGGACCAAGGCTGAGGAGCAGGGCCACAGCTAAAAAGTGATGACAGCATGCAGGGCCAGGGCCAGGGACCTGTAGTCCGAGCAGGGCGAGAACCAGGATCAGGGACCCATACACCAGTAGGGTTGCAGCAGATCAGATGTGAGCTGGGAGAGAGCAAGACTGGGTTTGGGGCAGTCAGCTGAAGAGACAGAGGCCCGAGCCCAGGAGAGGCTGGGATGGTTAAAGGCACAGGGTTGGAGGCCCCAAAAGTAGCAGACTTCTTCAGGTTCAGAGGCCGCATTGACTAGAGTTGACCCTGGGGCAGAAGGACTAATGGGGTGGACCCTACTGATCCCTCAAAGTCAGACAGAGGAGCAGGAGAGTCTCTCTGCCCTGCAGCCATAGACCCTCCCTGCCTGCCATGGTCCTCTCTCCTCTTGAGTTCCTGCCATGGGGAAAGCTTCCTCCCAGAGCTCCACAACCACTGGTCGCATGTGGGCCAACTGGCCCACCTCTATGACTTGCAGGAATAAGTGCTGTTGGTGCTGTCACAGCTCCCATGCCCACGTGTGTGTGGATCCAGACCAGGCGTGCTGTGTGGCTGCCTCACTGAAGCTCCAGGCCATTGGCATTGCTGTGGAGAGAAGGGCTTATCACTTCTGAGCACCCCTGGCTTAGTTTGCCGGCCTGTGACTCACTGATGTGAACGGTTCTTGCTGTTGCATCTCCATTTCTGAACTTGTGCTTTCCCCTCTGCTCCAGGGAGCATCATGACGAATGAGATCTTGTACTTGGCGAAGATCCACCCATTATCACAAGGGTCCCTCTTGGCTCCCTCAGATCTCGATGCCTTGCTTCATCATGCCATTCAGTTCAGCACCCACTGGCTGCATAAGAAACTGCACGGGAAAGGATTACACCCTCTGATCTACCAGAAGGAGCAATGTCCTCTTGGGCACATGGTGAGGAAGGGAACTCCTGGTCCCCTACATTACCTTCAGAGACTTACCTGGTGGTGCCCTCAGTGCCAGCCTCATATGCCAGCAGAAAGCAAAGGTCATCCTCCTATGCATACCACTACATCTTCCATCCTTTAAAGGGATTAAGGACATGCTGTCCTTTCTTGGAGAATATTGCATGAGGATGAGGATGGCTTGCAACAAGCTGTAGGATGCACTGAGCAGAAATCGCTTTTCCATGAAGACCAAAAAAGCAGAGAAAAATTCAGTGTGTTTAAAAAGATGGAGGAATGGTTTCTATGTCCATGCTGCATTGTAGGGATCAGTACAGCAAGTCCAGGAAGTTCTACCTAATAGCTGAAAATACTTGTGTAACTCAGGAGGTGGAGCTACCCACCAGCTGCAGCCAGGTCTCTGTCTTGGAGCCCTCCTTCCTACAGTGTGGAGAGTCTCCCTACAGAAGGACACCTGGAGCCTTGAAACCATCACTCAGACACAACTCAGTACTTAACTATATACAATTTATTTACATAGGGAGAAAAGGGGAGGTAGAAGAAAACATAAAAATCAATAGGTATACCCAAAAAGAGACTAATAGCTATTATATACTAATAACTATTATACTTGCGCTATAACAGTATGAAACCCCAAACCGCCTCTTCTTCTGGAAGTTTGGGAGCAGTCTCTGGGGAGGGGTGGGGGGTCAGTGAGAGCACCTTACACTCAACTCTCAGGTCGGTTCCTGGATGTGTTTCACCCTACATTGCTTGTAGTGACATTGCACAACTCCCAGCGATGAATGTCACACCGGTCCTGGATGCAAATAACAACCCCGTCTTTTACACACTCTCCACCCTGCACAGGAGAGGCAGCAAGCCCAGTTATGTTGGCCATAAAGCAGTATAAATCGTAGAAGTGTAATAGCTGTTCATCTGCTCATCTTATTTGTTCTGAAACTCAGCGAGTCTCCTAGCTAGGGAAGGAAATCAGGATCTTTTCACAATTAGGGACTTAAATGAGGTCATTTTGAACACCCTTTAGTCTAAAGAACCCGTAACCAGCTCCTAAGCATTTATATTTATTCAACATAAATTTAACATGTTGCCGATTAACATCTTTTCACCTGCTACATATTAACCTCCTCATCCAAAAATCTGGAACAAGTGGAACAGAGTTAGATCAGGGTCTCTTGCTAAGACTCTGCACCTATTCACAAGAAGTAATCCAGATTTAGTCACGGCCCTCCCCAAACATGCAGTCTGTCGACAGGCAGGACAATTTTTGCCTCATCTAGCCACAGTAAACAATGTCTAACCATGACCGAGCACAAGTGCATGGCTGCAGACTGCTTAAAAAATGGCCAGTGGCGTGAAAATCTGACACCCTGCTATAGACTCAGCAAAACCCTGCAGGTAGAGTAGTTTCAGCTTCCTGCAAACAGAGGCTGGCTTAAGGTGGATGAAGAGTCAAAGAGTCAAATAGCAGCCTGGGTCATTAATTTCCCCTGCTGGGACTCTGAATGACAAGGTAACTGGTCTTACCGGGTGCTAACTGGGAGGTGGCTCTGAATTGCACAGCATTCCTAGTTGCAATAGTAAGCAGGGTTATTTCATTTTAAGCAACTCCTTTGTTACAGACATGATTTGATGTGCGCAGGATCTAAACCAGTCGTTTGTGACCCTTTCGTATATTCTTCCTATCCACTTTTGGGTCGCGATCCATGGGTGGAAAAGCACTGATCTAAATGACTTCCCCATCATCAAAAGCTTGAAGAGGTTTGCCATGTCATCTGCGTAGGATGAGGTGTGGGTGCACCCTTGGGGCATTTCCCAAAGAAGAACATTGCAAATGGTTCTACTTTAATGTAACTCCAATCCTGGATGCTTTTGCTGCGCTTGAATTGATCCCAGCTCAGTTCACACAAAACAATTAAAAGCAGCAGCCACTGCCCGGCTGAGAGTTCCCCTTCGAGGAAGTTCCCAGCTTTTCCGTGTCCATCTCCAGAGCTGCCGTGTTGCAAGCAGCCCACAGAGCTACAGTATGAAGGGTTACATCCAGCATCCCGCAGAAATGCGCTGGCAAAGCCCAGGGGCTGATGCGACACTGGGGGCAGAGCCCATCCCAGAGCTGGCGGTGGAAAAACTCCTGTGTCTGCAGGAAT